ACACAACCTTCACTACGGATTGATTAGTTACCTAATTTACCTCTGAAATCTAGTCAGCATCAGGGTTTTTTCCTTATTATTCTCCAAAAAGCGTAAAAATGATCTCCGGCATAATAACAGGATAGCTGATAGTGCTCAGAAACCCTACAGCTAGGTGACAAACGCATATAATCAAATCCATCGACACATGAATTCATAAATAACTACCAACTGAATATAATTAGTAAGATTCAGTGGCTAGAATACCATCCACTGAACATAGCCAGGTGCATGTTACCGTAAAAAAAATACGGGATATTGGACATAGGAAATCGGAGGGCGATTATTTGAGGAGGTTGTTACTTCAACTTTTTCTTGGTGTTTCTGTGTTTTCACACGTGATGTCAAGAAATAAGATTTGTCTGTCAGATGCCTTACAGAACAGTCGACTGATGTCTGTTAAATATTGAGACAACCGCATTACAATTTTAGTATTCTTTCCAAGAGACTTTCAACTTCAGTGATAAATTTTAACCCACTTCCTCAACAGGATAGCATAACACTAAAATCTGCCTAAACACAGTTAAAATTCAGTTAAGCTTAAAATATTTTAAATATTCTAGTGAGGAATGACTTAGTTTCAGGGTTCACTACAGCAAATCAAGCAAACTAATAAGGGAAATTAAATGCGAACATTTGAGAAAGTCTTTCGATAAACCCATTGTGAGTACAGGCAAAAATACGTCGAATTGCCGCCTATTGTCCCTGCTCCGGGTGATCAGTTGGACTTTCTACTGAAATTTCCCTTTTTATAGGAAATACCTTAAAATTAACACTTACGTTCCCCTTATTATCTCCTTTCCTCCATAATCAACACTGAATTGACAATGTTTCCCGGAAATTAGAACTGAAACGTCTATTTATACGCTTTATGAACGCGTAAAATAGTAAACTTAAACGGTTAAATTGAACACCTTACACCTGGAACATATTGAATAGCCTCTTCTCTAATCCTTAATCTTTCGTTACCGATGTTCGGTTTCCTTTATTCATCTACATGATACACTTACTTGCTATCACTTTTTGAAGTTGATCATGTGTCATTTTGTGAACTAACCAGTGTTTAAAACTGTTCAGAATATTTTCTGTTTCAACTAGTAGATAAAACATTCTCCATGTATTTTGTATTTCCCAAGAAAGGATATTTAGGATGAAGTTGACTTTATGGAGCATAATTAGTATGCTGCGATGTGAAAACGTCTCACGAATGAGTACTCGAATTTTATCCACGTATATTCATGCAAAAGCATTAAAAAATTTCGTTATTTAAAAAACATCTCTCTTAAATTATGTAATGGATCGTCTGGCCAACGTTTGCATTTAAAGATTTGCTATTCACCAAAGCTTACTATCCGTGTTACTGAAAATTAGCTGTTTAACAAGATTGATAAATAATAACAGTGCGCAGTTGTTAGAGCCATGGATTTTTATCTATAAGATAGCTGTCGGTCTTAACCCATAGCTTTCAATTAAACAGCCGTGGAGGTTCGCTGCAAAAACGTCGTACTCATCAGTTCAAAACCAACATGCCACAATCTGGCAAACTTATATATATCCCACTTACTCCTTGTAAGAAGTGATTCGTCTGTTACTTAAAGTATATTTTGGCTGCTAAAGTTGAGTAGAAACCAACAATATTTAACCATTATTTTAAATGTCTGGCTCAATAAACCTTTTCGAAAAGTTATTTAGAACTCAGTTTTGTTATTCGTTGTTAAATTGCAATGAACTGTCAAATTATTCTATCGAATGGTAGTTAATTGACGTTTCGTTGAAACAAACA